AAAAAAAAAAAAAAAAAAAAAAAACATAAAAATACAATAATGGGCTCGACCTATAAAACCACCAAAACCGAACAATGAAAGTATCTCCATTTCAAATACGGGAAATTTAGCAGATCAACGGTGAGCGATGACCTGCAGCAACAGAGCCAATTCGAGAGGCAGAGTGGCTTTCTCGTGGGAGAATAAGCCAGGGGAGTGCAAGGCAGCAGTGGCGCCGCCGTTTTACCGCCTGGGCGACGACGATCTGGGGCAAAAGAAGCTGCGACCACCGCCGTGTACTTCGGCGAGAAAGGGCCAGAAGAAGGTGCAGAAAGATGGGGTCTTTGAAGACCCTTTTCTTGCGGCGTTCAGAGAGTGCAGCAATGGAGAGGACGAGAAGAATTGCAAGTTGAAGCAGAATAAAACTGAGTTTGGAGGGTGGATGAACTTGTTGGGTAATTTGTCTTGTAAGCACTTGAGGGCGGTTCGAGATGACAGTTTGATTAGCTCCCCTGTTTCCAAACTAACCATGTAGACGAAAGAAGCATGGCGTAGCTTGTACTATTTATAGAATTAGACCTTTGTAAAATTCAATAAGGATTACAACTTTTTGTTTATAATTTGTGGCTTAGATGCATTAAGGTTTGGTTGTATGGACATGATTTTCAATATATTTTAATATTCAAATGTGAAATTCATTTTTACTTTTTGTTTGATAATTTTGTATTTTTTAAAATTGTGTTTGGAGTTTTTTTATTTTTTATTTTTTCCTAATTAAACACTTAAATTTCTAGTTTATTTTTATTTTTTCAAGATTCAACTCAAAAATCAATTTATGGAAATAGATATATAGGAGTGTTTATAGTTTTCTACTTTTAAAATATGCGTTTGTTTAATTTCTATATTTATTGGCATTACATTTAAATTTGTAAATTTGTAGTCAAATTAAAAAAAATAAAAACAAAAATTTATTATTCAACTTTAAAAACGAATTCGCGGTGAAAGTCAAAGACAGCCTACAGAAGGCCTGACCGGCGAACGGTGGTTCCGACAGATAGCGACCATTATATATAGATCGGCGAGGGCGAATTTTAGTAAAGTCCATTACGAAAGGGGTTAATTCTGGAACGCGGTAAATAATTTTTTAGCCGCCGATAACTCCCCCCTCTCAACTTCTCCGTACTCTCGATCAGTTCCATCTCTGCCACTTCCTCGCTTAAACCCTAAAAACTCGATTTTACCCACAGCTTCGTGATCCGACCACTCCGGTTTCTTACCCGCTACCATACTGGGTTTGGCGCCACCAATTTTCCCACCGCAACTTCAAACAACAGCCGTAACTGTGAGTAATCTCCCTCTCTCTTTATCTCTAGGCGCTTTGGGTTATTGGATTCTGCATCTTCCATCTAGTTTCATAGAAAATTTCCGGCAACGGGAAGGGATTTGAAAAACCATGTTTAACGAGGAGATGGGTTCGTCACAAATATTGATATTTGGTTATATTCTTTAAGAACACCGCGGTTTACCTCAAGGAAGTGACGTCTAGTGGTAGAAAATGATTCGGGTTTGCAGAAGCATCGGGGAGCTAATTGTATTCTTCATCACTCCTTCGATAGGAATCGATGTCTCTTGTGAATCGGTCTATCATTTTTCCGCTGTGTCATTCTCCGTCATGCCAATTTACTGTTATGCGGTAACATTGTGATTTCTTGGAGATTGTTAATCTTAAGAGTGAAGTGTGCGGTGATATTCTCACTCACGCTGCATGCGATTGGTTTGTTTCTTCTATCCCCGCTACGAATTTGGAGGTTGAGAATGTATTAGGAAACAAGAAAGATGATGGGACAAGATGTTCCGTTGTTTATTCACTTCTTCGTGATCTAACAGTTGTTCATTCCATGCCTAACCATTCGGGTTTTTTTCGTCATAAATAACGTTTTGAGACGTTCAGTTTACGAAATTCTGACATATTTTCTAGTTCTCTTCCTGCTTTCTTTAATATTTCTATGTTGTTTGCAGTTGGGTCTCTATTTCTTGCTTTTGGTGGGCTTCAACTGGAAGTTGGCTTAGCTGATCTGTTGGTATTGTGATCTCTAGTTACCTTTTTTCAATGCTCAAAGATTGAAACTTGGTTATGCTCTAAAATGGAAAATCTGTCTCAGTCCTCAGGTGGACAGGTAACAGAACCCTCTCTTACTTCTTACTAGACATCACTGATTTTAGCTCTTTATGTGCATGTGTCTGTGTTTATATAGAGAATTACTTGGTATAGATTTTATTGCTTACACTTACCTACTGGAGCTCAGACATTTACTTTGTTTGTTCAGTTATTATTACATTTTTAGAAATTCCTTGGACCCTTTCCCTTTCTTTTTGGTGTATTAGTATTTGGCACTTTTGGTCATTTCAGTGAATGTTCTTCGAAATTCTGGTTCACTGATTCATGCAGGGTTTTATTTGGTTTCTTATTTGTACTGATATTTGGTGAAGACTATGTTCTATTTTATGTCTATAGAGTTGGTATGAGTGTCTGAGATCTTTCTGCTGCAGTTTCGGCCAGTTATCCCAGCACAACAAGGCCAGACGTTCATTTCATCATCTGCCCAACAGTTCCAGTTAGCAGGGCAGAATATATCTTCTTCAAATGTTGGAGGGCCAGCTGGTCAAATCCAGCAACATCAATATCCTCAATCAATACCGCAGTTAGTTCCAAGGCCTGGCCATCCTACCTACATCGCTTCTTCATCCCAGCCTATACAAATGCCTTATGTTCAGACAAGGCCTCTTACTTCTGTCCCACCTCAGTCCCAGCAAAATGTGCCTGCACCAAATAATCATATGCATGGCTTGGGTGCTCATGGACTACCTCTTTCTTCACCATATACCGTAATCCTCACTTTCTTTATGTGTTGTTTACTTGCTTTTCTGTCAATTTGAATAGATTTTTTTTTTTTAAAAAATTATTTTCTAGTATATTCGCTGTCCACATTTGATGGACATAATGATGTTGGTGTCATTTCTCAGTTCCAGTCAATGTCACAAATGCATGCACCCGTTGGAGTTGGTAATAGCCAACCTTGGCTGTCTTCTGTAAGCCAAACTACAAACACCGTCTCACCGATCGAGCAAGCTAATCAGAACTCTTCAGTTTCTGCCACAAACCCTGTATGTCCTGCTTACCTCTGTTTACTTTTGTCTGTTTCTATCTTCATTATTGAAGGGGTGCTACAGATCTGCAGGAGGTGGACTTCAATCTATTGTTTATTTTCTTTTCATTGTAGTTTGTAATTGCCATTTCTCTTCTTTTAGCATATTGCAAATATGGTTTTATTTATCAAGGTCTTGATAAATGGTCTTAGGAAAGCATGGATGTAGGGATGTATTTGATAAGTTGGGAGAAGTTTGGAGTATGATCATTTGTGAAAAAACTGTCCTTAAACTAACCCATGGATGTGGGGGCTACATGGGCGGAGAAGTGAGAGGGTGGGAGATGTATTTTGGCCTTATTAATTGGTGCTAAATATGGTTTACAACAATGTATGTGATTTTTCGCTTATGGAGACACCATGGAATTTCCTGGAAGTTTTTCTCTCCAAGCTGCATCGCTCTCCAAATAGTATCAGATATTATGGGGAAATGGGACCAATGGTAGATTTGGGCAGTTACATGGTGTGGTGGAGTGTTGTTTCATTTACTTTTTCACTGCCTATATTACGTATACTTGAATCAAACAAAAGAATTTTTCAGTATATAAATCTGAAAATCCTCATTTATTATTCTTTTTGACAACTTTAGTTACTTTTCAGTCATTGATTAAAAGAAGGGCTGAAATTCTTTGTATTAGTATCATAAAGGCAATTAATTGAGATCTATGATACAAAAAGGGAAGAGTGTGATGGAGTGTTTTGGCTATATTTTATTATTCTTCTTGGCGTTCCCCATAAACTCTTTTTGAAATTACCCTCGGTCCATAATTAGTTCAAACTGAGAACCTTTGTATAAGCCTGTAAGGCTGACACACTCTTCTGTATGTAACGTCCACATTGGGGGAAAGGTTTGTTTTTTTTATTATAAACGAATTATACAGTATTTTCCTTTGAGACATTAAGACAGATTTCTGATGTTAGCTCCTCAGTACTATTAAGATGCTGATTTCTGTATTCTGACGGGTTTTCCTTAATGTCATTTCTAACATTGGGTTGCTAATGCACATGTCCTCAATCAGCAGTCTTCATCTGATTGGCAAGAGCATTCATCAGCTGATGGAAGAAGGTAATGCTGCATTTATCACCGTCCTTGTAGCTTTTAGATTTCTTAAAATCCAAGTTTAAATTTATGTCAACTTGATTTCACTTGCTGAACTGTTTTTTCTCCAGGTATTATTACAACAAAAAAACCAAACAGTCCAGTTGGGAGAAGCCATTGGAACTTATGACACCACTTGAGGTAAATGTCATTTTACCTGTTAACATTATGATGCTTCTTTGAAGAAAACACTTATCCGAACAAAATTCATGGTCATAGATATGCTGTTCTAAGATTCTATTTTCATTCATATTCAATATCTTGGGGCGGGGATATATAGTGACTCTCTGGAATAATATTCTTTGGGTATTCTATTAATTCAGGGATCATGTATGATCTTTCTAGGTATTGGTTAATGTCTTTAGGTCTATTTTCTGTATATACATTCTCTTACTAAGTTATATAGTTCTCTTTATCATATATTTTATTTAACTATTGTTTTTTTTTTGTCCTCTTTTGTATTCTATATTTGGTGTTATATCTTTAAACCTCTTTATATTTTCGTAGTCGAGCAACTATCTCAAATTTCTTTTCCTAGGAAAATATTTCTGTGTTTCTGATTCAAATAATTGTTACAGAGGGCTGATGCATCAACTGTGTGGAAGGAATTTACTGCTCCAGATGGAAGAAAGTGCGTAGTTTCGCATCTGTCATCAGCTCCTATATTTCCAATTTTTCATTAGCATGGTCACATTCACATATTTCAAGTATTTTTAGTGTGATACATTTTTTGATCTTCATGATTAAGCATGTGCTCTAATTGTTTGCCATGAGTTGGAATAGGTACTATTACAATAAGGTGACGAAAGAATCAAAGTGGACCATTCCAGAAGAACTGAAGGTTGAAATCATGGGTTACAACTCCCATATCTTTCTTTCAAAAGGATTCTTGGCTTTCAATCTAACTTTGTAGATTTGCTTGCAGTTGGCTCGTGAGCAGGCTCAGAAAGAAGCTGCCCAAGGAACACAAACAGATATAGCTGCTACAACACCTCAACCTACACCTGCTGTTGGTCTCTCCCATACTGAAACACCAGCAATTTCATCTGTTAACTCCAGCATTTCTCCAACGGTATCTGGGGTTGCATCGAGTCCAGTTCCAGTCACTCCTTTTGTTTCCGTATCCAATTCTCCTTCAGTGGTGGCTTCTGGGTCATTGACCAATACTGGCACTCCCATTGCTTTAACAACTAGTGTGCCAGGAACAGTTTCTTCTCAATCTGTCGCTGCTGCTGGAGGTACCGGTCCTCCTGCTGTGCTCCATGCCAATGCTTCGTCAGTGTATGCACTAGTCTTGCTGATATAGTTTCCACATCCACACTTCCTTGGATAGCAGCTTCAAGTGCGTGTATCATTCCAATTTAGTTCTGCTCATTGATTTCTTTGTTGTTTTGAAAATAGGACTCCTTTCGAAAGCCTTGCATCTCATGATGTCAAAAATTCTGTTGACGGAACTTCTACAGAAGACATCGAGGTAATTTCTGGAAGATTACAACATGATACTTCTTGCCTCATTAATGATATTGATTTATTTACTTTTCTGAAACTTTATTCTAAAACAAGATCTTTCTACTTCTTAATTTGAATGAATAAACTAGGTTAATTTGGTTAGTTCATCTGCCAAACTATTGTTGTCTTCCAAAATTTGGCTCATTGGTTTTCAATATGATCTTTGGAGTCATGACACAGGAAGCAAGGAAGGGAATGGCAGTTGCAGGAAAAGTTAATGAGACCGTTTTAGAGGAAAAATCTGCTGATGATGAACCTTTAATATTTGCCAACAAACTGGTACTTTCTGGAAAACATATTCTCACATACTTTTAGAGAAAAAAAATTGAGTGCCTCATGGGTATATTGTGAATATATTTTCTTGTGCATTTGTTTTCATAATTATTGCATTTATTGTCTCTTCTTAAAAATATATTATAAACATCAGGAGGCAAAGAATGCATTCAAAGCGCTTCTGGAATCTGTCAACGTAAAATCGGATTGGACGTGGGAGCAGGTTTGTTTGGTTTGGACATTTTTCATGCTACATTTTTCAATTTTCATCCTATTGCATGCTAATTCAATCTGATCAGGCTATGCGAGAAATAATTAATGACAAAAGATATGGTGCCTTGAAAACTCTTGGTGAACGGAAGCAAGCATTCCATGAGGTATTGATATGATTGGACTATAATGAAGTCTTATTGAAATGATTGGGATGAAATAGTACACTGTTTCACCCTTTCCCCAACATTTTTTCTTTGCAACAAAGGCAGATCAAACTTTATGATTCTTTTGATGAATTTTATGTTTTTAGTATTTAGGACACAGGAAAAAATTGGATGCGGAGGAAAGACGTATAAAACAGAAAAAAGCTCGTGAGGAGTTCACCAAGATGTTGGAAGTAAGTTTTTGTAGGCAATTTCTCCTGTCATGTTCTTTCTTCTTATCTGATGTTGTTAGAGATCTTGATTTTCGTTTTCATATTTTTTTTTCATTCAGGAGTCCAAGGAACTCACATCATCTACCAGATGGAGGTTTGTTGCTTAGTTATTATTTTTTGTTATCATTATTTATCTTACTACTTTGTAAAGTCCTTTCAACCTTACATTTTTTCCTTTTCAATTCTTTTGTGGGACAGCAAAGCTGTTAGTATGTTTGAGAATGATGAACGGTTCAAAGCTGTTGAACGTTCTAGAGACCGGGAGGATCTTTTTGAAAGCTACATAGTGGAACTTGAGAGGAAGGTAGGAATCATTTATTTATTCATGCATGTGCATTAGTACTGTTCAATGAGAAATTTCCCTTTTGTAGTCAGTTGTGTATCTGAGTTGGTGGCAGTGTAGGGGAACTAAAAGTGACTAAGAATTTTTCTTTTTATAAAAAAGTTGAAATTGTATGAACTGCTTGAAGAACTAAAAGTGACTAAAATACTGTAACCTCTTTTACATAGGATTGTATGAAAATACCTTTTTCCAGATAAGGTAACATTCACACACTATCTCTCTCTCTCTCTCTCTCTTAATTTCAGGAAAAAGAAAGGGCTGCAGAGGAGCACAAGAAAAATATTGCTGAATATAGGAACTTCCTTGAGTCATGTGATTATATAAAGGTATTTTCCTCAAGAATTTCGGATATATAAATTTACTTAATCCGTATTCTGGCTTATTCTCCCAATCTGTCTTCTGCGGTTTAGGTGAACAGCCAGTGGCGTAAAGTACAAGATCGATTGGAAGACGATGAAAGATGCTCACGTCTTGAGAAACTTGATCGCTTGCTTATTTTCCAGGTATGTCTTTCATTTTTATTTGATTTGCTGCTTGTGTACAATAAATTTTATGCTGTATTTTGTTGGGACAGGACTATATACGTGACTTGGAAAAGGAGGAAGAGGAGCAGAAAAAGATACAAAAGGTCTTACCATACAATTAATCATATGATAGTTGATCCTGTTATGTTAAGTACGTAGGACACTCACATTCATGTTTAACCACTTGAAGGAACGTGTGAGACGAATTGAAAGAAAAAACCGCGACGAATTTCGCAAACTCTTGGATGAACAAATTACTGCTGGTATTCTTACAGCTAAGACTTTCTGGCGTGATTACTGTTTGAAGGTATAGAACTTTTTAATCTGTTGCAGAACATTGAAATTCGGACTAGGAATGTTTCTGCACATCCTTGATTGCTTTTTTGGTAGGTCAAGGAGTTGCCTCAGTATCAAGCCGTTGCTTCTAATATATCTGGCTCAACACCAAAGGACTTGTTTGAGGATGTTCTGGAGGAATTAGAGAATAAGGTTATCATCGTACTATACGTTGTTTTAAAACTTTGTTGAGTTTAATGGTTTGCTTTATTATCAAAGATATTTGGCAATGGTGATTTTAAACTCTAATAGCTCCGCGCCTATAGGTGATTTTTCACATTGGTAAAGCATTCCATCCGATTTGTGATTCATTTTATATCTGCTAGGAATCAATTTAAGATAATATGCCTTATGATTTTAAACTCTAATATTGCACTTACAAATTTTGCTGCTCGGTGAATTTCCCTCTGTTCATCAGCTTGAATCCTCCTGAAGTCCATGTTTTGCCTGAAAAGATTATTGCAGGGCCGCCTGCATTCTTGTTACCCCCAAAAAATAGTTTCAAACTGAACTGATGGATTCTCTCATTTTATTTCCGTAATTTATGTCAGAACTTTATGTTATCAGTTAAATTGTCTGAATCAAAGGATTCTCTCATTTGATTCTATTATTGTTGAATCAAAGGTGCTTTTGAAATTTCACTGTCAAGCTCACATTTACCACTCTTCTTTCTCTAAATTTCCAGTATCATGAAGAAAAAGCTCAGATAAAAGATGTGATGAAGGCAGAGAAGGTAGTAGGATTATAAACTTAAGTTGCTGCTGCTGAATCCATTTTTAATTTTAACGGACTGCTTTTCAGATTACCATCACTTCATCATGGACGTTTGATGACTTTAAGGCTGCCATTGAAGAGGGTGGTTCTCTTGCAGTTTCAGATATAAATTTTAAGGTATCACTCCAACCCTTCTCTCAAGTAAAAATTCTTCTATAATTATTGATTTTACAACATGCTTAACTCGACCTGTAGTACTAGTGTCATGTACCAAGATAATTGTTGTGTATCTTGAGTACTTGCTCCCAAATTCCTGTTGTTTAGGCTCATGAATCCTCCTTTATGTGAAAAACTTCACTGCCTTGTCTGTATCTTTAACTTTGCATCATTTGGATTGTTATTGACAATCCAAATCAATGAACATGATACGTATTTTGAGATATTAATAATACTCTCCCTACTGTGATGAAGCTTGTATACGAGGACTTACTAGAAAGAGCCAAAGAAAAGGAGGAGAAAGAAGCCAAAAGGCGTCAACGTCTGGCTGATGACTTCTCAGGACTTCTCCATACATTCAAGGTATTTTAGAATGCTAATGACATGTGAGTCCGTTTTTGGTTGACTGTTTTCTCTCCCAGAAAGTTGACCTTCAATGGTTGTATTTATGATACAGGAGATTACGAATTCTTCCATCTGGGAGGATAGCAAACATCTTTTTGAAGAGAGTGAAGAATATAGGTAGTTCTTTAAGATTTCTATTACTTACTGTAATGCAGTTATTGGGCACTCAATTTTCTTCTCTTTTTTGCTTTCCTTTTCTTATATCGTCGCTTAGATCAATTGGGGAAGAGAGCTTTGCGAAGGAAGTTTTTGAGGAATACATCATTCATTTACAAGAAAAGGCAAAAGAAAAGGAACGCAAGCGTGAGGAGGAGAAGGTGTGGTATATTTTTCTTATGTTTGATTAGCTTGAAGATCCTACTTTTGAGTCGTTGGGTAAAGGATTTTTAGTGTAATAATCAGCTGTTTGAAAAATTTTCTCCTCCTGAGATAGAACTTCTATTTTCGCAGGCTAAGAAGGAAAAAGAACGTGAGGAAAAAGAGAAGCGGAAGGAGAAAGAGCGAAAGGAGAAGGAAAGAGAACGTGAAAAGGAAAAGGGCCGGGTTAAGAAGGATGAAACAGATAGTGAAAATGTGGATGCAAGCGAAACTCATGTCTACAGAGAAGACAAGAAAAGGGAGAAGGACAAAGATAGGAAACATCGTAAGCGACATCATAGTGCCACTGATGATGGTGGTTCTGATAAAGATGAGAGAGAGGAGTCTAAGAAGTCCCGCAAACACGGTAGTGACCGAAAGAAATCAAGGAAGGCACGTGAATGTCCTCGTAGATGCTTGTGACTTTGTCTTCTTTTAATGAGAACAGAAATTAAATCTCTATTTATGTTTCTTGGCAGCACGCATATTCACCTGAATCAGACAGTGAGAGTAGGCACAGAAGGCACAAGAGAGATCATCGAGATGGTTCCCGTAGAAATCACGACGAACTAGAAGACGGGGAGCTTGGCGAGGATGGGGAAATTCAATAGATGTTTGCTCTCGGTTCTGGGATTTCGCTCCTACGATTTGGAGGGGCCAGACGTTCCACCAGCATTATCAATGTGATTCTAAGGGCCAGTGAGATAGCAAACTTCTGGAAAGGATTCTTTTGACGAGGAGATGAAGGGTGAGGCAGTACATCCTTCTTCAATTATCTGTTAGTGGATATATACTTCTGTAGTGTTCCTTATAGGAGTTAGTGGCGTATGTGAACCAGCCCATTTGATTGGAAGCCGTTTTAATTATTTTGCGAGGTGGTTTTGTAAGTCGTGACTACCCTCAACATCCTTTTGTATTTCTGTCCATACGCTGCTGCTGCTGCTGCTGCTTATCTGCGGTTCTTTTTACTGACAGAAGTTTGATTATTGAGATTATCTTAAAAGCTCTGATTTTACAGCATAAATCGGAACCAGAATGAAAACAATAGGAAGAGTTCACAGCACATCGTGGTGATTTTAGTATTATTTTTATTTATCAGAATTTCAACTTTTTTCTAAGTAACTTTTAACCTTTTGTGCCTGTCTGGTCTTTCTAAAAGCAAAAGGTGAAAGACAAATGAATTGGTTGATGGATCACTGCACCTGAAATGGACAACGGAGGGAATCACTTTATGCCGACAATCCCTTTGAAATGACATCTCAGGTCGTGCGATGAGTCTTCCTTTTGAAATGAGATATATCTGAATGGGTGGTTTTGTAGTATTTAAGAGATATTTACGAGCTCGTTAAAGAAAGTCGAGTCTTTGATGGGTTCATGAAATGATGTGAGAGATCCAAATTCATTTAAGATTGGCCATTGGTTGAAATCTGCTTTCTCTCGTAAGTGTAAATTTCTGCCCCAAGGTGGTTGAGTGAAACTTCTAGGATATGAATTTTAATACATGTGTATGTGTCTAATGTTCTAATGTGTCGTGTACGTAGATCTTAACTGCTTCATAATCAATAAATCATTATTTTGGTTGATAATAAATGTTGTCTTACACGACAACTAGTTATCGTCTAGAGTTCGATCGAGAATGCCTTTTTTGGCCTGTTGAATCTGGCAAATCTATGTGTTGGAATCTTGGTATAGTTGAAGCCAGAGGGTTGATGGCCATAGATTATCAATTAGTTCAGTAACAGCTTCATTAATGATCTCTTGGACAATGAATTCTCCAATCTCTGTCCCTATAAGCTGCTTTTGCGGCTTGAAATCCCTCCATTCTGCTGCTGAGAATAAGTAATCTGAGCAGACTAAATTTGATAAGTTTGCTTCTTTTCCTTTGGCTTCCTTCGCACAGATGAGCCTCCGGGCTTTCCGACTGCCCTTCTTAGAATGGGTCGCCACCACTTCCCTCACACAGTCAAAAAGAAGCTGCTTTGTTTGATGTATTACCCTTTTGGGTATCATGAGCTGAGCTGCTGGGCTGGACGTTACAAGTTCTTGCAGCTCTGCAGTCTCTGTGCCACTCGTTTTCTCCGTTGCTGCGGAGCAAAGAAGCAACTGCCAGAGCGTGGCTGACAGAATTGAGTCTTCTGAAACTTGCTTCTGTAGAGGAATGCCATCGTTTGGTCTCGCTCGAATTAGACTCTTCTTCCCTGTTTTCATGTCCTAAACAAGTTCAGATCATTCAGTACTTGTAAGTTGTAAATAGATTTGGACTGAAACTGACAGAGAATGATAGTACCTTCAGTACTTGTAAGTTGCTGGGTTCTAGAGCTCCGGAAGTGTCTGAACTTGATGAATTAGCAGGATAAGGAGATGTTTGTTCATTATCTGAGCTGAGCGTCTTTTGGAAGCTGCAGGGAGACAAAAAGTTGTCTGATTCTGCCACTCTCTTGCAGCCGACACTAAAAAACCAACCATTTTCCCCCACATCCTTAGTTTGCTGCTGCTTCCTATGAATGGAGAGAAGCTTCTTACACGAATTCCTCAGCATCTTATTAATCTCAACAAATCCCTTTCCAAACTTCATAACACCGTTTAATTTTCCACCGCTGCAGCCGAAGCCACTTCCCCGATTCGAGCTCTTCCTTGAGTACCACTCTCTCTCAAAAAGGTAATCCTCCAACTCGAAAGGTTCTTGTTGTTCTTGCAGAAGTTGTCTCAATGGTGATCTTGGTGTCATGGATTCTATGAAAAAGAGAGGTTGAAATACAAATGGAGAGTAGAAGAAGAACATATAAACAATAAGCAAAGGCAATTATGTGGTGCAGATTAACAAATGGTGGATAGAACAGACAAAGCTTATTGGTAGGTAAAAAATGTCAATGAACTGCTAAGAATTGTATGGATTTTGTTTCTCTTGTCAGTTTTTTGTGTCTAATCATTGCTTGTCTTTGCCTGTGGCCTTCTCAATGTTTACACCTTTCATTGTACGTGCAAACTGAGATATAGGGAGGACCTCATTACAGCAATGCAGCTGCCTCAGCTCCATTTGGTCAATGATTAACTGATATTTTCCTTTCTTTTTTTAAAAAGAAGTATAGTTTTAGTGGTTGTGAAAGAAAGGCTACAGAGGACTTGTTTACGCTGTGTTTGAAGAACTGTACTCCAAAAGCAATTGGTTCAATGGAAGTTCTTCTTATTATAAGTTCTTTCATGCCCATCATTTTATTACCCTGCTTTCACTTTCCTGCATGCGTGGATGAATCTGAGATTTCTTTCAGAAGTAAAGCTGTTGGGGGAATGGAAGAGATGTCAAATCTTCAATCCTGCCATGAAATTGGTTCAGGTAACGAATCCATTAGCATGAAAATCCGAGGAAACTAGTCCGGGTTGTCCTCATTCATCTACTTCTCCTTTACTGACCTAGTGTCATGATCATGCTTGTCCAAAGCGTGTTGTCTAATGACTGCATGTTTGATGTCCGGTCATGCTTTTTGATCTTTAGACACAAATTGAGATCATGAAAACTCCATTGACCTAAGGTCATGCAATGCTTGTCCTACATATTGGATGTCTCGGTCATACTTGTCCCACGTAAAAAAAATCTTTTAAACACAAATTTAAAAGTTCAAGCTAATCTATATTGGAAAAGAGAGTTCTCCATGAAAACTCCTAATCTTTATACATACGAAACTTTAATCCAAGATATCTTTTATAGATTTTAAGTTTAATGTCTGTTAATACAAGAAGTTGGTCACAAGTCTACACGAGTCAATGGTTGAGGTATGGAGACGAAGCAAGCAGTGGTGCTATGTTCAACCGTGTTTAGATTGAAGTATTGTTGAGCTAAGTTAGGTCTTAAGCTAATATTTGTTTCGGAACATTTCGATCGTGGGTCATATCCAACAATATTTTAAAAGATTCGCATATCCAAAAATAAAGGAACCATTTTAATTTGGCAAAATGAACCCCCACGCGTTGTGTTCATCTTCTCATGAGTTGATAACTTGTTGCAAAGTAGGAGCACAAATCAAAGAGAGACAAACTTTAGCTTTCACTTTATATGCTTTCTTAATATTGCACGATCCAAAGAGACCATAGCTTTCTCAGTCAAAAGAAAATCTATGAACTTTTGAAACCTTTTTTATCTGCTTGGTTTTTCTTTCTCTCTTCTTCCCATTTCTTCTTCTTCTTCCTCATAAAATCCCATGCTTTTTTCCACTCTTTGATTAATATATACATAAAAAAGGAACAGACACGACCAAAAACCAAGCCTCATATACCTTTTTATCCCAACAAAACAACCTCAGTCGCCATTCCTGAGGTTATTTCACCGAAGCAATGCTTGTGTTTTTTTGTTTACTATTACAGGCAGAGAGACTTTGTTGTCAACTTTTTCTTTTCTTCTTTATTTTATTGTTGGTGGAAAATCAAATCTTTGCCTTCTTTTTTGGTTTCTCATTCTTTGATTTCGATCATTTTCCATGTCTCTAACTTTGATGTTCTCCCATGTATTTGGCTGTCATTTAAGAATATACCTTGCACTTGGATTGGATAAGTCTTCGACAACACATTTATCTTGTCTGCCCACTCTAACAATAGTTTGGTATTGATATATGATGTTAAAAATTGGAATGTTAATATACAATATTTACTACAATTAGAATTTTTTTTTTGATAATTTAGTTACATATAAGAATTATTAAACGATAGATCTCTCGAACAGAGATAATAAGAAAACCATCGTACAAGAATCACTCTTGATATCATAGTAATTTCTCATTTTCTATGTCGTAGCAAATTATCATATCAAATTCATTTTTGTTCACTAACAAATATACGTGGTTTACCATCTGTCACGTGTTTATCATTTCTGGTACCGTTGAAATGTTGATTTTTTTTTTTTTTTGTGCATTTGAATCTCTTATCCTAACGTGACAAAATAATGTTGGTAAGTTACCAGTATAATTAATCCAATATTTAAATTTTGATAAGTTAGAACATGCCCATCAAGCTATAAAATAAAAATACTCTACCCTATTTAATATGGCTATAATATGCCCATGAAATTAATTAATATGATGTAATTAACTTGAATATAACACAAAGATTAATTTTTAATTTTTTTTTTTTAATTCCCACGCACACCTAATTTTGAATTAAAAAAGGAAGAGAGAAACTAATTTAGATTAATAAGGTGAATAATATATATTACATTGCCATGTCACATTAGAATTTGAAATACCCATCAAAGACTAATAAAAATATAAATATCCTAAGTGACATTTATTATTTCATTCTCATGAAGAAATTTCCTCATTTTTTTGTTAAGAGTAATAATTGAAAGATATTTGCATGCATGAATTCTCCCTCTCCTGCATGGGAACAGAAATCCGGTAAAGGTCCGACAGCCGAGCATGAAGTGCCACAAATTCCGACCACAGTCTCTCATTTTGTCTTCGTACCATACAATAACGGCTCAACACTAAGTTCAGCTGGCTTTTCAGCTCCTGGTTCTTCACCTTCAGCCGGTCCGTTTGAACCCCTAGATTCTCCAAATGCCTCTTCTTCCGCAACCTCAACCGCCTCGCTGACTCTCGGTTCGATATCCTTCTCCTTCGTCTCCTCTCATCGTCAATCAAAGAGACCGCTTGGCTCGAGTCTTGCGAACCCGAGTTTGATCTGGCTGGATCTTCGAGCAGAGACCAAAGCTCCTGGATTTCGGCCGGTGTGAACCCAGATTCCTGAACCGGCCTACGAAACCGGACAGCTTCTTCTTCAGAATAGAACATTGGGAAAGAGAATGAGTTGTAGCTCAAAGAGAAAGGGCTATAGATGAGAGAGAAAGGGAAAAGGGAAGGAAGGAAGAGGAGAAGATGGGTATTTAAAGAGGAGTGGGAGGGGACACCTTGGCCCCTCAGAGGGCGAAAATGGTCATTTTCACTTCCTACCGTGCGTTTGGGCTGTTGTAAATGGTATCAGGGCCAGACACCGGACGATGTTACAACGAGGAGGCTGAGCCCCAAAGGAAAAGGGGCACTAGATGGTGTGCCAGCAAGGACACTGGGTCCCAATGGAAGTAGATTGAGGGTCCCACATCGATTGGAGAAGGAAATGAGTGCCAACGAAGACGTTGAGCCTCAAATAGGGTAGATTGTGAGATCTCGCATTAGTTAAGGAGGTGGACGAAATATTGTTTATAAGACGTGGAAATCGCTACTTAGCAGATGCATTTAAAAAACTTGAATAGCTACAAAACAGTTTGAAATGTTGGTAGAATATTGTTAGGGGTAAAAAGGGGGAGTAGAATCTAGGAGGTGGCTGGTATGGCGGGTGTAAAGTTGTTGGTAAAAGTTGAAGGGTGGAGAGAATTAAAGGAAGAATATAATAGTGATAGCAAGGTGGGAGATTATCTCTTCCTTCTTCTTCTTGGGTAACCCATAGGACCCATCAAAAAGCAGTGAACTTTAGAGGACGAGCGCACATTTGTCAAAAGAAAGGCAGAGCGGCATTGATGAAGATCAGCAGCCGATTTGTTTATCTTTTTGGTGGAAAAAGGGATAAATTTGGTAGTGGGGTCTCCCATTTTTGTTCTGGTTTTCTCCTCACAGGGATAGAAGATGACCTCTCTTAGCTTAACCACGAAGAATCAGATAAAAACCCTTTTTCAGAAATGGAGAGAAAAGAAAAGGGTGGTCATCAACAAGCTTACCAAAGCCCAATATTGTGCCCATCATCCTCAAACTCACATGCAAAAGCTTCAATTTTTAAGAACCGATCATTTTATTATTCAAAAAGCTTTGCAAATTGAAATCTAAGCAACCCCAATATATTCCCTACGACAGTTTAGCGCAGTTAAATGTCGGAAACTTGGGCGGTTTTTTTAGTTAAATTTGATTTTAGTGTATTTGTAGGAGTGGAGGCTAACATGCATGGACGGCAAAGGTGGTTTTTTTCTTGTTTTTAAGGGAAAAAAAAAGTGTGAGGCTATTTGAATATTTAATGGCATAAACCATTGGCTTTTGGCCTAATTTTTCCTTCTTTTATCAGTCGGCTTCATGTGCTGCAAACTAAAAACCAAAAACACTGGATTTCTTTTGGATAGGGTTTCTTGGTTTCTTTGAAGCAGTGTTCTGAAACAAAAACAACCTGGTTTTCAGATTTTTGTTTCTTAGTGGTACTACGACAATGGAGAGGTTAATGGGCTTTCATTGTTGGGCTTGAGTGCAAACTAACTTAGGCCCAAATGGAACGTAATAGGTGAGATCTCACGTCCGTAGGAGAAAGAAATGAAACATTCCTTATAAAAATGTAGAAACTTGTCTCTAGTAGACATGCTTTAAAATCATAAGGCTGACGATGCCAAAGCATAATTTGTTAGCGGTGAGTTGGGGGCTATTACAAATGGTATTAGAGATAGACACTCAGCGGTGTGCCAGCGAGAACGATGGGCTCCCAAGATAGGTGAATTGTGAGATCTCACCGTTGAATAGGGTAACAAAATATTATTTATAAGAGTGTGGAAACCTCTCCTTAACCGACAGTGTTTTAAAACTGTGAGGTTGACAACGATATATTTTCGGTTCTTGACACGTATTCATAAAGGAAACATATAAATAGATGAATAAATCTCTTAATCCATTTAACAATAACGTAATAATAGTTATTAACATTAATTATAATGGTTGATTATTTTACTATGCCTACTGTTATTACTATTTAATCATCTCTAATGTTGCTTCGTTTTTTCTTTGGATTCCCCGCTGGTTGTTGGCGATAAAAGTAAAAGACACTACTTTATTTAAATAATGCACAACATTATCACTCCCATTTTTACAACATTATTTAAAATCATGGCCCCAGGCCCTCCACCCTTTTTCTTTATTAATTTCTTTTTCAAAAATGAAAGGAAGGAAAAAAAAATGCTCGATCATATGAATTGAGATATGAATCCATTGGTGAATCCAAGTGGAAAAAGAGCACTCGAGTTTCATCATCTAAAAGTACTTGAATTGTTATTATAGTAAGTAATGCAGATTGAGAATGAATTGAAGCAGTTCAGACATTCCAGTTGAAAAAAGCAGCAAATTTCTCAGATTCAGAAGCTCCTATATATCACTTACCCAAGAAAAGGAGGAGCTTTTTGATTTGGATTATACAGGATAAGAAGCAGCTCATTAGATTGCATCTACAAGTGGCTGACACTTCTTGCCTTTAACAGTCCTCCTCCGGCCAGCAGCAGCGCCGTCCTGTTGAAGGTTCCCGTCGTTTGGAATCAAGGGGGCGTCGTTTGCCTCATCGCCGTCATCCTCAGCCGTGGCAATACGAATACAAGAGCATCGTTCCAAGGATCCAAAGAAAGCTGTGACAAAGCCATTGATGAGCCAAGTTGCCACACCATCAAGCTTCCCACATGCTGGAGAGGCATGGGTTGGTGAAGAAGTTCTTACTCTTGGCTCCATAGAACTTGATCTGATGGAGAAGAAGCTACTGCAGGTGGAAGTAATGGCAGCCATGAAAGATGAGATTTGAAGCGGTGTCTGTGGCTGAATCAGAATCAGAAACAGAGACAGAGACAGAGTTATGAAAGCTCCAAGCTATAGGAGCTTATAAGTTCCAAACAAGCATCTTCTACCGACCCTGTTTTAATAATTAAGGGTTGAATTTTGAAGCATGCCCTTGACACTGTTAAATTGCCGACAAATTTGGTGGTATAAATCTCGTTGAAAGAACAGTGGAAATTAATCTCAAAACATTGATCTTTATAGAAGAAAAAGATAAACAAAAGTTGCCTAACAAAACGTGCATAGGCAAATCATGATTTGGGCTCATACAATTACAAAGACACATTCAAAATCAGAGGCAGTAAAACAAAAACAAAAGCAAATTTGAAAGCAGCTTGTAAGATTATGCCATACCCTCAATGGTCCTATGGGGCCTGCACGAATGTATTTGCCGCCTCTTATAGCTGGCAGCTGCCCTATCATCCTTCCTTCTCACTTCAGCTTTTACTCTCTCTCTCTCTCTTCATAATTCTACCAAAATATGATGGAAGCATAAATAATAATATCAGTCAAAATACCAGAAATTTCCAGGAGGTTGGAAAATGAATCTGAAACAATACATGTTTAACTTGAAAAGTAGGGATGGTTTTTCTGTTAATAATGAAAAGTGAAGACAATGGGGCATTCCAATATATTTGAGGTTAGTAGGAAATGGAACAAGGAGAGTAGATTGTGAGATCCCACGTCAGTTTGAGAGGGGAACGAAACATTCCTTATAACCTCTCCCTAGTAGACGCGTTTTAAAAACCTTGAGGGAAAGTTCGAAAGGGAAAGAAGACAATATTTGCTAGCGGTAGACTTAGGCTATTACATGATTAGGCTATTACATGATGGGCAAAAGAAATCATAAATCATAATCCATTGGCCTCTCTATTACTAGAAAGCATGATTCTAAAGAGCTACTTGCATAAACAAATGTTACAACAAAAGTGGACATTAATGAGAAAAGAATGGGATGATAGTAATCATGAGACCCAAATGCTAAAAAATGCACATCATCATGGGGTTAACACCCACCTGCTCACCTATAAGCAAACCTACTGGAAAAGAAATGCCAATTGGAAAGAACTTGATCCATTATTTGTGTAGAGTATGTTGAGGAAGTTGCCCACCCCCTGCATCAGTATCTGGCGAAAACACCAACCATTGCAAACGAGACATCCAATATGGTGTGCACAGTCTTATCAGGAACATCCCATTTAGTTTCAGAAAAAAAAATCCTTGTGATCTGCAAAACAGTTAAAAATAGCCTAGGGCTCTGCAATATAGTTCTGTAAGAACAAGCTTAACAGGATAAGTAGCGCACATGCCAAGAACAACAAAATCTGTCCTCTAGTGAGGAATGTTAAATAGTAATATGAGCTTTTCGCAAGGACTTGCATGTTCTCATAGAACAGCTATAATTGGAGAAATCTGTGTGTACAGCTCAACAGACAAAGAAACTTGTACGTCTTGTGAGAAACAAAAATAAAAATCACATGAAGCTGCCTATATTCTAAAGTACGCCATGCTAAGTTGAGAGAAAGAGAATGAAACATGCATCATTGAGAACTTGCTATGATCCATTGAGTATTTTGAACAATGGATGAAATTGCATTATGTTTCCAAGTCATATTAGAACATATGGAAAGCATCTTGTAGAAAAACCAGAGAATCAGAGCTAACACGCCTTTATATCATTGCAGCAATGCAAACTAGCTAAGAAATACTGTATTTTTGGTCAAACTGCCCCCATCACAGACATGAGCTTCAAAGCCTTGCAATCTAAATAAATTATCGACAGAAAAGGTGGAAGTAGTTTCGTTGTCAGTGATTTGATTCCCATTGCTCCAACAAGAAGGTCTAGGCACACTCATTGCTTAGTTTTCATATATGTATTTGTTCAAGAAGTATCATTGTCATTAAAATTTGAATGATATGGAGAAAGTACAAAACCTTCCCTAAGTGCAACAATGGTATATACTTTCTAATCTAAGTGGCTTGCTTTATAACTTCATCCGGCTCTATATTATGCAGGTAACAGAAGTCTGGTGCCACCAAAAACATGTAGATATAATGCTAAACAAATTGTAACAAGGACAGAAGACTTAGCGCTGAAGTATCTGATGACTTGCAATCCCCTACCCACAACTTCATCATGAACTATATCAAGACTTCTCTTCAGACCATCCATGAGCTTCCACAACAAAAATTCCACAAAAGATCTTGTTGTTTCAAAGGTCACCCTACCAGTTAAATCAAGCACAAACTTACGATTTCTAGGAACTGCCAAAGTAGATGAAACCGCGCCAACCCACCCATTT